TTACTTCACCTTTAACAAATCACCAGCTGCAAATATTGCAGCCTGGTTTAAAGCCTTTGTACTTAATTAACCTGTCTGGGCTCAGTTCTGCCTCAGCCAGTACACACTCCTCAGCTAAGGGTGTTTGCTGGAGGGATGCACAACAGGGGAGCAGAATTTGTGCTCCCTCTTATTCCCTCAGATAATTAAGGTCCATTTCCTTTGTCCTGTGGAGAAATCCCCTTGTAAAGAGGACAAGAAAGGACAGAAATTTCCTGTGTCTCTGGAGGTTACCCAGCTAAGTATGTTCCTTTGTAGGGAAGACCTGTGACATAAGAGCTTCACATCCCTTAAGCTTTCAACAAAGGACACGAGTGGGTCATTCCTTAATTACTGCAGATTTGCAAAGCACGTAGAAAGACCAAGGATTTTAAGCACACTAACCATTGTTAATTTGCTTTATAGCTCATCTGGCATGTCTGAGATAGTCTTAAAAATCTTGCTGAGCTCTAACCAGTGTCAAACTTTGAACAAATTGAGCAGGTCCATGAAACTGAAACATTCAAAGAGGAAAACCGGGTAAAGTTCACAGCACAGTATTTTCCCAGCTTACACTTCTTTACATCTTGTGTCATAAAACAACAAAGAAATCTGAGTCACTGGAATCCCTGGACAGAGTTCCCAGGCTTGGGTTTCCTTTGTAGTGCTCCCTGACACTGGGCCCCGCTCTGCAGCCCACGCAGCCACGTCCCTCTGCTTTCACCCTGCTTTGTTTCCAGAAGAGCTCCCTATCGAGTTTCAGGGATTTCTCTCTCACAATCTTCCTCATCTCCCTCTTGCTCACTCTGAAAGGAAAACCAGGAGACCATATTTCCCATTCTTATTAGCACTCCCAAGCCAAGGACCTTGTTCCTCTTACTGCATCATACTGAGTTTTTTCTAAGCACTGTAGCACCCTGGGAAAGAGAGGAACTCACTCCCCCGTGAAGCCAAATGTTGCTACAGCTTCTCTTACCTGAGCAAGTGTGTTTTTTCAGCCTCTGCTCATTGCATTGTGAGGGGCAAATACCTTCAGACAGGACTTGAACCTGCATTTCCATTGTGTCCTCTCCTCAAGCCTCACTTGCCCTTCTCACTCCCCTCCATTCTTAAATCAGTTTTCCCAGGCCAAGACTTGACCCTGCCCATGGGAAGGCAGGTGGATAGGCACATGGTACAGGGCTGGGATGTGAGGCTATGGGCCAGGAAAGAAGTCATGGCACAGCTGAATCTCTTCTGGGGTGAGGAATGCCAGTACTTGATGGAGCCAGGTAAGAACATGGACAGATTTGGGTTTTATCTAAGTAGAGGAGTTGAAGCAAAGAGAAAACTCTTTGTGCTTTAAATAAAGGAGAAGGGAGAAATGTTTTATGGAGTTTCTGGTTTTTCTGATTGAGCCTCCTGGAAGCAAGAGCTCCTCAAGGGAAAATTTGTTCCTCATCAGCCCCAGTGTGAACCAGAAGAAACAGCAGTTAAGGTGAATGTAGGTACAGGAATGGAAACCCAGTTTGAGAGAGGAGTCACTGCCCAGAGGCTCCATGTCAAGGTTCTTCAGTGGCCCCAGCTCCTACCTCTGAGCCCTCTCTGTTCTGCCACTCTTACAGCCTCATCACCACACTCAGCATAGCTCCAACAGCAGCTCTGACTTTTTTCCTGGCTTGGAAGCTGTTCAAAGCAAGTGAGGAACCTTTCTTCCCACTGTTCCAGAGTGAGGTCCTGGAATGCTTAACAATGCCAGTTCTTGGTGGCTCCCTGAGCAGCAGCCTCATCTGGCTCACTTCTCTGCTTAACAGAGCCTGCACTGAACAGAGCTTTCTTACCCTTTCTGAGAGGTCCTTCACTACTCATTTTTTCATGCTGTCTGGGGCATCTGGTTCAAGCTGCAGCTATATTAAAAAAAGGCACTGTCTGTTTCTGGCTTTGAAAATCCCAGTTTCCCATGGATCCAAGCCTTGGGCTTAATGTGAGAATGTCTAAATACTGTGTGACTACAGGAAAAGGAAAACGAGAAACAGATGGATAGATAAACACTTTTTTTTTCTTCCTCTACAGGGTCATCCAGGGCAACCAGGGCCAAGGGGGAAACCAGGTCTTGATGGCTGTAATGGGACAGCAGGTGACCCTGGTGACCCAGGAACTCCTGGACTCTATGGTTTCCCTGGTTCCATTGTAAGTAGCTAGCAGTAAGTGAGTACCTGAAGCTAAGACCATTGCTGAAGTGAGTTTCATTCACATGTGTGTTGGGAAAAAATGGGTCATCTCTTAGTGGAGCTCCCTTTTGGCCCAGCAGAGGATTTGTGCAGACTTACCATGGACACACTGCACTGTGCTTTGTCATTACACTGCAGCCAGGGCTATAAGGTCTGCCCAGAGCTGTGCCTGTCACATAGGTCTTGTGGAGAGATTGCTTTAGGAAAATCTTTACAGCTTTAATCAACCACCTTTTTAATGGCAGGTTAATGGTTGGACTCGATCTTAGGGGTCTCCTCCAACCTTGATGATTCCATGATTCTAACAGCAATAAAACAATATTAAACTCACAATTCCTGATGAAAGGAACGTTTTTCTTCCCTGACCCATGGCCAAAGTATTTGCTTTCCATGGTGAGTTATGTAGGACTATGCAGAGGTGAGCAGTGGAGCTTCTGGATGTACCAGGACATGTGTCAGTCCTGGGAAGCTCCAGCATCAGCTCCAGCTAGGAGGTGCCACCTCGTAACACCACTCCCAGGTCAGGGGCTTCCTCCCTGAATCAGAAATTCATTCCCTTATGTACTGTGAGAGTTTATGCTTTTTTCCCAAACCATAAATTTCCAGAGCTAGACACAGGCTCTGCCCCTACACAGCAGTGTTGTGTATGGAAACTCATCAAAACCCCAACAAATAGTGTTCGTTACTCTTAGCTGTTTATATGTTAACCTGTAAGATATGAAAGCTTACTTTCTTTTCTCTTTTGGTCATCTCCAGGGAGTCCAAGGGCCAAAGGGCCAGAAGGGAGAGCCGTACTTAATGCCACCAGAGGTCATAAGCCGCCACAGGGTATGTCTGGAACTTCGGGGAGTTATTCATGCTCACTACAGTTGTTCAAGCAGATGATGGAGAGCAAAATTTTCTTACACTCTGATGGACATGTCCCAAGAGCCCCACTTTGATTTCCTGTGATCTTTGCAAGGCAGCTGCTGCTTTCTCTGGTTACAGCAAAATCTGTCTAATATCCAGGAAAAAATATCGCCACTTAGTTACTTGGAAGGACTTCCAGCCTACAGGTGGATTGAAAGGCACTGGAGATGCTGAAGTTCAAGTATTGCCCTCTTTAATTTGTCTGCAAGTTTGATTGACTGAGAGCAAAATGTGCTTTAAAATTTTATTTAATTATTGAGTAAACCCTAAGTATTCCTGTGGGTTTTCTCTCTGTGTCCCATCCTTAAAACTTGCAATCACTTGTAGCTTCTCATATGCATAGTGTAATTTGAAGGTGTCAGAAGGACCTAAGGGATTACATATGCCATTGGCCAAGAAGGCCCATGGCATCCTGGCCTGGATCAGGAACAGCATGGTCAGCAGGACCAGGGAGGTGATTCTGCCTCTGGACTTGGCACTGGTGAGGCCACAGCTTGAATCCTGTGCTCAGTTCTGGGCCCCTCAGGTCAGGAAGGACATTGAGGTGCTGGAGCAGGTCCAGAGAAGAGCAACGAGGCTGGTGAAGGAACTGGAGCACAAGTGCCATGAGGAGAGGCTGAGGGAGCTGGGGGTGTTCAGCCTGGAGAAGAGGAGGCTCAGGGGAGACCTTCTCACCCTCTGCAACTCCCTGACAGGAGGTTGGAGTCAGGTGGGGGTTGGTCTCTTCTCCCAGGCAACCAGCAGGAGGACAAGAGGGCACAGACTCAAGCTCTGCCAGGGGAGGTTTAAGTTGGATATTAGGAAGAGATTTTTTCTGGAGAGAGTGATCAGGCATTGGAATGTGCTGCTCAGGGAGGTGGTGGATTCACCATCCCTGGAGGTTTTCAAGCTGAGACTGGATGTGGCACTTAGTGCCATGGTCTAGTAACCATGGTAGGGTTGGACTTGATCTTGATGGTCTTTTCCAACCCAGGTGATTCTATGATTCTGTGATATGCTGATGGAGTATAAACTGTGACCAGTTTATGTACAAAGCTCCATTTGGGCTGCACTCAGCACAGAGAGGATCTGCTGACATAATTTTTGTGTATGTTGTGCCAGCAGTTGGTGCCAAAATAGGGTTTTTTGTGGACATATTTCTGTGTTTTATTGGAATCCTGTTCCTTTTAGAGACTCTTCAAATCTACACTTCTTAACAATTAGGAATGATTCAGTAGTTTTTAAGGAGTGCTCAAGTATATTGTGGCCAAGGATGGATCCTGACACCTGCACTCCTTTCAGGAAGCACTTAGTGCCACAAATCATTCTGTTAATTAAGCTCAGATTAACTAGATGCTGCTCAAAGTGATTGAAGGTGTTTAGACTGAATGATTTATGGGTGTTGGAAGGTCTTTGAGCTAGAACATTTTTGGATCCAACTTCCCAAAACATTTCAACATGTTCTGCAGTTAAAATATGGGGTCACTGAAAACAGTATGTTCCAAATGCTTTTGGTGACTCAGAGGAACACTAAAATGACTCGGTAATTCCCATGCAACTCATGAAAAATTAGTTTGGCCATTGCAGCTAAGGTTAGAGCCTTGATTCAGCCACTGCTTAGATAGGAGTTTTCAGACAAGAGTCCAGGGTGGTCTGTTGTGTATTTCAGCCTTGTAGTCTGAATCCCTAACTTCACTGGCCAAATTCGTGCCCTGCTAGTGTGTTGCATGGAGCTACTCTGCACACAGAAAGGCAAAGTCTGTGTGGCCCAGGCTCACTTATCTCACCCTCTGATGGAACATGTGTGCAGGGTTTGAGCAGCATTGTGTGCTGTGGTTAGTTATAGAAGTTACTGAGTGAGAAAAATATTTTGTTCCAAGTTTGTGTATACGGTTAGTTATAGAAGTTACTGAGTGAGAAGAAGATTTTGTTCAAGTTTGTGTATACATCTTTATCGCATTTTGTCACCTCTTTGTTGTTTCTTTCTAGGGGGATCCTGGGGATCCAGGGTTCATGGGCTTCCCAGTAAGTAGTGCTACAGTGAATGTGATGAAGTGGCAACAGTGACTGATGTCAGGACAACATGAATTGATGGTTGGTGGGTCTTCTTGTTTCCAGGGGCCTCAAGGAACACAGGGGATTCAGGGGCCTGTTGGTCCCAGAGGACAGCAAGGAAGACCAGTAAGTATCTTTAAAATATGTTCTCCAGAAAATTAAGCTAAGAGAAGAATCATCTTGTCAAATTCCATTGTGTTGGATTGTAACCTAGACTAGAATTAGCAAACAGGTGTCAATGGGCACAAAACCTTCCAAAAAGCACCATGAGACACTGATTCTACAGGGCTGGGTAGTGCAGAGAGAGATTTGGTTTATTTTGCCCCTGAGACTTTTGATTTGTACTTTATCTCTTTAACCTCCTTGGAAGAGCTTGGTCTGTAGAGGCTGTTTGGTGCTGCCCAGTCCACATCTCCCCACGCTGAGTTATCAGGGAGATCAGGACCTTAACGTGTTCTCTTTTCTGCTCATGCAGGATGTACATATTAGGTCTCTACACTTCCAAGGAGATTTAAAAGATAACATTAATATTTACTATACAATATTATTTTTTAACTTTTCAATCATTTCTTTCCAAAATCAACACTTGCAGCATTGACATTAACACTTGTTGTTGGATAGTTCTTTGGGAAGATTAGGTTCTCTTCAGACACAATTTGCTACCTTTCTTATTCCCATGGTTACTAGTTTTATGGGTGAGAATCAGATGTTCAAATCCAATATATTTCTCTTTCTTTAAGCTTGTTCTATTTTCTGTAAGGCAACTGTATAGCATTTGCTTTTTCTCTTTCTTTTGTCAAAATTCACCTTGGACCTGCTCTGTGTCACTGGTTTGAGAGGGGCAAAAGTTTAATTCACATTCTTACACACATCTCCATAGCTGTTTTCAGGGACATCCCCCTCAAAAAATTAAAAAATACCAAAAAGTCACCAAACAAACAAACAAAACCCCAAAGAAACACACATCTAGGACTGCATCCACAGCAGTGCCAGCTGCAGCTTTATTTTCTGTTTTAGTTTCATTTCCCACCATTTTCCTTTGATTTCATTCTGTACAATACCAAACAGGTAATCTGAGATGCAGAAGAGTTCAGCTCCCCTTGCAGACAGGCACAGTACCAGGACACAACTCCAGTGCCACACTGAAAGATGTGCTTAACTTTTGGGATGAGCTTCAAATGTTACTAAGTCAGGACTCAAAAGCACAAGTTCTTATTACTTGAAATAAAACAGGCTTTTCACTAGGTGTAAGCTGGGGCAGTGTTACTCTGTCTGGGAAGATTGCAATGTGATTGAGGAGGGTGTTTTCCAGCACAGTAAGTACAGATAGTACAGTGAGGATAGCACAGGGAATGCTGAGGAATGTACTGCCTATCAAACATACACTTGTGCTTCAGACATGAAGTAGTGACCTACTGCATCCATTGGTTAGAAGCAACAGGTAACTTGCTCTATTGTGTTTCCCCAGGGACCACCAGGGCCCCCAGGACAACAAGGACCACAAGTAAGTCTTTGTGTCAGAGCTGTTAACTCTGATTTTGTGTCACTGAGGTTTGCCCAAGACCCACTTGAAGGTGGTGAAACAAAGAACCACAGGCTGCACCAAAGACTGTGCAGCACAAGACCTTCTCTGTTGGCTGCATACCATGAGAAGTTAATCCTACACTGGAATCACCTACCCTGAAAAGATTCAGCCAGTTCTAGAGGCAGATTTAGGTTGTTACTGTAGCCACAGTATCTTCCATGAGCAGAAAATCCTTCCAGTCTTTGCAATGTCCAATCGCATCTCAAAAACCACATGAGTTCAGTGTTCCAGTCCACTTAGGTGTTTTTGTTTAGCACTCAGTGTTGTTACAAATCTTGCAAAAGAAATGCTTGATCTTTTCACATTACTCAGTGGATGACTCAGAGTCTGTGTGAGAAGCACTGGTAGCAGGAGATTTTAATTAGAGTTGTCTGTCTGAAAGTTAAGGACTATAAAAATACTTCTAAATCTATAAAAATACTTTGAGGTGAACCTAGAGTGTTATTTGGTTGTGGTTCTTCAGTGATGTCCCACAGACTTGTACGCCTGGAAAGGCTTTAAGGATGTTTAAGTTTACATTTTAGATTGGAAAACTGAGTTGTACACTTGGTAAATCTTGACCTGTCGTTTTTGCAGGGCAACAGGGGCCTTGGCTTCTATGGAGAAAAAGGGGAACAGGTAAAGAAAAACCAATGAGTTAATATCAGTACTAAGGGACCTGTTGATGTTATCTGCTACTTGTAAAAGAACTTGCTTTAAATATTCTCCATTTTCAATTGCATGATGTAATTAAAAGAGAAAAATGAAGTATATGTAAAAGAACTTGCTTTAAATATTCTCAATTTTCAATTGCATGATATAATTAAAAGAGAACAATTAAGTATTACTTTGAGAGTAATTATAATGTCCCCAAGGAATGTCACAGCTGAGCTAACTTCCACCCATCTGGGTCTACCTGTGCCCTCACTTACACTGACACAGGTAACACTTATGAAGCCTTTGTAAATCCAGGCCACTTTCTCTAAAGCAATGACCTTTACCATTACTCTGGAGACATGCTGGGCAAGAGCAAATATTGCTGCATCTTCACCCAGCACAAATTTAATTTCTCTTGCCATCAGTTTATGTGGTGTGGTGATGGAGGGGTTAGAACCATAGTCCTAGCAGGGGTAAACCTGTGTTGCTCCTTTTGTTGCAGTTCCCTAGACCTTGTGCTGATCAACACCTTGACCAGGTACACTAACTGTTAGTAAATTTACCTTTATGTTTTTCCTACAGGGCCCTCCAGGTCCTCCAGGTCCACCTGGGCTCCCCACAAGAGAACTGATGGGTGTCCCCTCGGACAAACACAAGGTAACTAGAGGTGATATTGGTGAAATGAGCAAGGAAATGATCTGCAGCACCAAAACTGAAAAAATGTGCTAACTTGTTTTTACCTATAGAACTTAGAAGACTTTAGTGTATCAAAATAGAAATCAGCTACTTTCCTGCAATAGAGTATTTATTGAAGCTGTGGTGGCTAAAGTAATTCAGGAAGTACTTCTCAGTAGAGGGAATGAGCATAAGCTGAGCCAGGGGAGAGTCAGATTGGATGTGAGGAGAAATGTTTTCCCTGTTGTGGTGTTGAGGCACTGGGATATTGCCCAGGGAGGTGGTGGAGCCACCATCCCTGGAGGTGTTGAAGAGGCATCTGGACCTGGCACTGGAGGATCTGGTTTAGGGTTTAGGGGTTCCAGCAGTGACAGGTTAATGGTTGGACTTGATGATCTTAGAGGTCTCCAACCTTGATGGTTCTATGATTCTAAGTAACATCCATGTTGGGATTTCCATGACTAAGCAGAGATGTTCATGTGTGAGCTCCTTACCTGGGGAGCTTTTATATTCAATGGAGATGTCATCTATAGTGAGTACACTTTAGGCCTTGATTTGCCTCATCCTAACAGGAGCTCTTGATCAAATAAGTCATAGATAATCAGTAGGTAAAAGTGAGAGAATGTGCATTTATTGATAGACATTACTTAGGTCCTCACCACTCAGACATCTCATGAACAAGCCTGGAAACAGCCTAAACATTCACATTCCTAGAAACCTTGTTAGAAAAGTTATCAAACATTTCTTTCATAAGCAGCTTCAAAAGCTTGTTATAAAACACTCAGTTGATGTGACAATGTGTGAGTAAAGAACAGCACAAGAGGAGCTTTTTCTCTTGATAAATATTTGTCGTTTTGTGTTGTATGAAAGTTACTTAAACCGAAGTGGCAATGCCCAATGTGTCTGAACACTTTTTTCTTTGTTGTTAGGGTGAGAGAGGAGACCCTGGACCAAGAGGGGAAGTTGGAATTCCAGTAAGTGAAGTGGTGAAGACCAAGGAACAACACTGGAGTCAATCCTGGTGCACTCTTGGTTGAAGTGATGCAATGTAGATATGGAGCAACGTTAGACATGGAGCAGTAGAGATCTGTTATTAGCAGAGTCACCAGTTCTAATGCTTTAGGAAAACTGACCAACTGGATGTGTGATAACTCCACAGCACAGTCAGCTGTTCTCTTATTGGTTACTGAAATAAGATTTTCCCTCAAACATTTTTTTCTTAGTTTTAAATATCAATAAATCTCTTCCTTTAGTTTTCTGATCTGTGTATTAAAATTTCCCCAAAATTTCATTAAGTAAGGCTATATGGAATATTTCTTATTCCTTTCTAGCCAACCCTCTACCACACACAGACTTTGGATCTCAGGGCTTTGGACCTGTTGAGTGGGTGGACAGTAATCCCATGGATTGCTGCAGTGTGTCAAGCTGTTGGCCAGACCTGCCTGGATGTGCTCTAGTTGTAACTGACAATCAACCTCTACCCTGATTAAACAGCTTTGCCACTGAATGCTTCCTTTTTACTGCACAGAGTGGTTTAAAGCACAGTTTTACAAAGCAGAGATGCCTAAGTGAGCATTTTACACAGCTTTATTTCCTCAGATGGTCAGCTCAGCATCCCCCAAGGCTGTGGGAGAAGGTCACAGTGATGCCCTTCGTATGCAGTTGTTGCTAGCAAGTTCTTCAGTTGCTGGTCATATTTTACACACTGGGAAAGCTGCAGGTTTATGCTGATGTAGCAGAAGGGGATGCGTGTCTCTCCCCGTGGTTTTTTGTGGTAGTTGGATGGATAGCAGCTTGTCTGTGATTGCCAAAGAGCTCTCTGAAGCTACAGCTTGGGCATAAGCTCAGTTGCTTAATTGGTTGTGTAGCTGCCTAATTACTTTGGCTGTTCCTCAGAGTTGCAGCCACAGAAGGAATGAAAGAGATGAGAGAGGGAAACTCTCCTCTCCCTATGGCCTGCTCCTGCTGTTGTGATGAAGCAAACATGTTACACATCATTTCAGGACAACACTCCTTTCACATGCAGCTATTATTAGATCCTCCATGTGTTACAATGATGTTTGCTTCCTGTTTGGCTTCCACAAAACAGTGTGGAGATGTTTTTGCACATCATGAAGGAATATGATGAAGGGGCCTATAAGGAGCCGGAGAGGGACTCGGTGTTAGGAACTGCAGTGATAGGACAAGGGGTAATGGGTTCAAACTGAAGGAGGGGAAGTTGAGGTTAGATATTAGAAAAAAGTGTTTTACTCTAAGGGTGATGAGACACTGGCACAGGTTGCCCAGGGAGGCTGTGGCTGCCCCAACCCTGGGGGTGTTCAAGGCCAGGCTGGATGAGCCTTGAGTAACCTGATCCAGTGAGGAGGTGTCCCTGCCCAGGGCAGGGGGTTGGAGCTGGATGATCTATAAGGTCCACTCCAGCCCTTAAATTCTATGATTAATTCTATGATCTATGTTGAAATGTTTTCTAGGGTGTACTGCTCCGTGCCCTGGAGAAAGGTGAAGAAGGAGTAATGGGCTTCCCCGGGGAAAGGGTAAGTCGCTTGTTAAAGATGAAATCAACCCAGCTGGATGTGCAGATCCAGGCTGAGGATTTGCCCTCTGGAACAAAAAAACCAGATGAACAGACTATAGCAGTGGTAGTTTCTCAGCCCGCCAGTTTTGGCCAGGTCAGAACTCCTGATGGAGGAAAGTCAAAGGGCCTTGTTGGGGTGGCACTGGGAGCAGTGCCCCAAGGGCTCCCAGTTGTGCCTGTGCCATGGGTGGTAAACCTCGTGCATCTCCTCCCAAAGCTGTGCTCACTAACCACAGCCATGCCCTGGGCCCCAGCACAGACTGCATTTCTCTACTTCCACCTGAGCTGTCTTCAGACCATGGTCAACAAACATGAGATTGTCCCAGCTGTTGCTCCTGCCTGTTTTGGGAGCTGTTTCTCAAGTGCTTGAACAGAGTGAGAACAGTACTCAGCACACGTTTTTTTAAAAATATTAGTCATCTTCACAATCTTCATGGTCAGTTTGCAATATATTGATTAGGAGAGACAAGTTCAAGCACCAGATTAGATTTCAGACCAGTTCTGTTTGCACCACACAAAAATCTCATTGAAAGCATATCTAGACTGTGACTGTTAGAGTTTCAAGCTGACAGATTTATTTTAGCTAAGAAATAATAAGAGTTCTTAGCCATTGGGATGTTAGGATGTCACCTCATGCTGCTGATTTTATTGTGTCTCCATAGGGACTGCCTGGCATCAATGGTTTTCCAGGACTCAGTGGAGACAGAGTGAGTATTTCATACAAGGCTGTTGTTTCTAACACATGTGTAGACAGTCTGTCTGAAAAGTAAACTGTAGAGGACCAATTCTGCCTGTCACTGCACTAGCACTAGTATAACAAGTATCATCTGGACTCATCCATCATTGTAATTTTGGGCCAGTTATTTTTCTCATCAGTGAGAAGGAACAAACAAGGTGCCCTATAATTAAAGTCTGGTTTTGCTTAAACCATGAGCATCCTTTAAGAGCACTGCAGGGAGGTGCATTTTCATTCTTCCCATTCCTGTGACTTCTGTCATTTGCTTCCTACAAGCAGAAACTTGCCTTTTTTCTTTTTTTTTTGTTTTCTGAATGGCTTTTTGTTGTATGGTTATCTTGGCTATCACAAAGGAAGAGGAGATGGAAACTGATAAATATACCAGTTAAATCTCTGTCCCCATGGAAACACACCCAAATATTTAAAGTAGCATTCTGTCAGGCAGAGAAGAGCTCAGACTTTCTGTTTGGTCTCTGCAAAAGGCTTCTTCAGTCAGCATTAGAAATCACTTCCATGAGGTAAATAGCTGTGGGATGCATGACTTTTCCATGCTTTGCCATCTTTAGTTGTTTAAGGACTTGTCCTGCCACCAAGGCATAACAATAACAACATGAAACACATGGGACCTGAAAGTACACCAAGTCTGAAAAAGAACATTTGCACAGCTCTTCAGTCTGATGGCAAATCCTGGTGGTGTGGAAGGGAATTTGCTGTCAGTAGTACAGACATGGAGAGGCTGTTGCAAAACCCATTCCAGCCCACTGGTTGACCTGGAGCTTCATGCTCCAGCCATTTGTGGCCAGTGGCTGCCCCTTACTGGGGGTGAAACTTGGCAACAGCCTCAGCAGAAGGTTCACTGGTTTGGATGGAGCATCATCGTGTACTGTGTGTGAGAGGGGACACCTTACCCTGTGTGCTGTTCACAACAACCTCCTCTCTGGTGATTTTGGGGTGATTTGATTCTTAAGAGGAAAGAAGGATGGCTAAGTCCTGCCAGCGCCCAGGTGAAGTCACAGTTAGTTAGGAAGCTTCTGGCTTCACTTTTAGACCAGCAGCTCCACCTAGTGTAGAGATTTTGCACCTGATGCTTCGGAATCTCCTGCTCTGGCATGATGTGTAGTTGACTCTGGAAAAGTCTCTGAAACACACAGTCCAGTTCATGGCATCTTCCTAACAGCTGTGATACTTGCAGTGCCTCCAGACTGCTTCAAAAGTGACTTACAGAGCTGGTCATTAACACTCACGTTCTGTGTAGGACCATGAAACTTGGGAGATGTTGAATTTTACACCAGCTGACTAATAATCTGTGTGAATTACACAAAACTGCTGGTTCCAGCAAATGGTGTTAATTGGTAACACTTGTTGGTCTGGCCACTGTTTTCTGCTAAAGCACAGCTTTTTAGCTCTTTCCAGAGTACATATAAACGTTTTCTATAGAGAACAAAGCAAAGCACACAGAAGAGACCATCACATCTCTATCAGCACCTCTGAAACCTGCACTTTGCTCTCTTCCCACCCATCAGCTGAACCACACTCACATGTGATGGGATGTACTGTGGTTTTTCATGCAGGTTTTAATCCATGGGGTTTGGATTTCAAATCTTTTACAAGAATGGTGTGGGCAGGACCTTAAATATTATATCATTACCTGGGCTAGGCATGGGAAGTTTTCTCTAGAATACAGCATGCCCAGGGCTGGGAGAGTTGTGTGAAGGTGCCTTCAGGGCTGGTCCTGAGCTCCTCTCATTCAGCTGGGGATGCTTCTCCTGCCAACCAGTCTCCAGACATCTGGAAAAGAGCATAAAGGACCTGTGCAGCTCAGTGCTATTTCTTTGCTCTCTGTTTACATTCCAGTGAAAATATGTCCACTTGTAATGATTCCAGCTTGTTTGCTGCTCTTGCAGCAGGCTGTGTGTTCTGGCTGCCTGGCCCATGTGTCTCAGGGTCAACTGGCACACAGGGGACCCCCTTTCTCCTCCTCCATCCTGCAGCACCCATGGAACAGTGTGAGTGTAGGTGCTCCTTCCACCTGCTCCACTGCCAGGGCAGCAGAGCCTGCAGCACAGCAGGTCCCTCTGGCCTTTGGTAGGAGTTAGGCTTGGTCCAAGAGGTGGAACATCAAAACACAAGGAGCCTTAATGGTGTTACCCCAATTGCTATTCCCCACAGAGACAATCTGCTCAGCTCTGCTGTAGAGTTTTCACACAGACAGTAGAGTGACATTGGAGCTGCTACAGACCAAGTCATTTTGGGCTCTCTCTGATAAAGGAGAAGTCAATGGTTTTTGTGTGTATTGCAGGGTTTTCCAGGATTCGATGGTTCACCTGGTGCCTTTGGTCCTCGGGGAAGCAAGGTACTGCTTCACTTTCATTTGCTAGGAGCAATATACCAGAGGTCATTCTGCTTGCTTTTCTCTTCTGCCATGTGGCAGCAATGGTCTCTGCTGTCAGTGTAGAACTGCTTATGTGGTTTGTTCACTTGGAATGTCCTGTCAGTGCCTTTGGAAGTTTGTTTTGTGCGTTGCATGGGCATAACTTTCCATTTTAGAAGAAATTGTCTGGGATAATGTGCTGAAGTGTGACACTTCACCTTCTGCTAACAGGGGGAGCCTGGCGAGATGGGTCCTCCAGGACCAGATTCCTATTTTCCTTCCCGCATCCCAAGAAAAGGTAGGTCTTTTTGGCTCAGATTGTTTACCTTAGCTGTGCTTTACAACCTTCTGCAGACATCCAAAGCATGACATCCTGACAATTCAGCTCCTACAAACCCCTGTGTTTTGCTGAAGTGTTCCAGAAGCTGTAAGTGCTGTCCAGGAGAGTGCCCTGACCACCCTTTGGCAGGCAGGTGGCTTTTTGTCTCTCCTGCTGGGCTGGATTGCTGTGCTACAGGCAGCCAGGCGTGTCTGTGTCCACAGAGGAGAAACAAACAAAAAAAAGCATGTGACTTTGTTGTCCTGTGAAAGTAAAATGGGAGAGTCTATCTCCTGCCTCCTGTTCCAGAGCCTCTGGATGAAGTGCAGTAACAGCACAGCACAGACCATTCCTATCATCTAATGCTTAGGAAGAAAGGAAAAACCCACACATCAGAAAGCCTTGAGGAGTGAAAAAGGATTTTTTTCCTCTTTTAAACTGGCGATTTTCTTTTGTGATCTCTTCCCCCAGCTTGCAGCAGACAGCAGCAGCTGCCCCGCAGAGCTGAGTGGCTCTGGCTGCCCAGACTACAAACATGTAGAAGGTGATAGCACTTTGCCAAGGCCAAAACTGTTCAAGGGAAGGTGCCAGCAAACAGCAAGGGAAATCACATGCGATTGCCTTGGCCTTTGTCCTTATACTGTTGAGTTTACTAGTCTTGTTGAAAGCCAGAGAGACTAGCAATGAATGGTTCCCCTCCTCCCAGAGAAAGGGGGCAAGAGGCCCAAGACATGGGTCAAAGCACTCTGACACCCTGCGAGGTTTTTGGGAGCAGGAGAGACTGTGTGGAGAGAGGAGGATGCAGGCAGGGGGCTGGGCACACCGTGTGTCCTCTAGTGTCACTGGCCTTTGACAAGAGAGTGATGCTTTCTGTAGGCAATGGCTGGGCCCAGGCAGAGGTTCTTGGTTCTGGGAAGCAAAGGGAAGCTCACACATCACACATCTCTTTTAAAGGCAACTTTCTGTAGGAAAAAGAGCAGCTCTCCTCAGAGAGTTGTTCTCTGCTTCCCAGGGGCAGTGTAGCTGGAACTACATATTAGTAAGAGCTGAGTGATATTATCCTTCTTCCTGGGCTTGGTTGGCTCCACACCATTCCTGTCATTCCACCTCTAAAACAACCTCTTAGAAACTATTGTAAATTCTAACTCTCTGAGGCCCTCGAAGTTCCTAATGTTTTCTTTTTAACAAACAACAGCATCACACTGATGCATGTTTTGTGGAACTGTGGATGTCTTTCAGGTGCAAGAGGTGATCCAGGTTTCCCAGGTGCTTCTGGACTGCCAGGAGACCGAGGAGAGGAGGGAGATCGTGGGGTACCTGGTCCTCCTGGATACTCTGATGGTAATATCCCAGCAACATGTGTTCCAACAGCCTAAATTTATAGTGGGTTTAACTGACGCAGGGTCAGGGTGGGGGAAATGTGTCTGTGGACATTAGGATAACCATGGGGCAAAACACAAGAGGATGATTTTCCTTCAGCCCAATGGGGCTGAGGTCAGACAACTGGAATAGAAATGATGACAGAGCCTTCCTGCTGTTGACTTGCTTGAGTGAAAAGTGCAGTTGCCATTGTGGCTGTATGCTAAACATCTCCATTTTTCCTTGCATTTTTCCTTCCATTCCAAACCCTTTGAGCAGTATTGTTAAGGACTTGCTCTGAACTTCTTGCCTGTTCTGTTTCAGCTGATGGGGATAAGCCAGGCTTACCTGGAGAGATGGGACCCAAGGGTGAGAAAGGTGAACTAGGATCTCCTGCCTTTTACGCGGGTCCACCAGGCTTTCCAGGCAAGCACGGCTCGCCAGGACTCCGGGGGCCACCAGGTCCTGTTGGAGCCCCTGGTAAGTGCATGGAGAGAGAGGATAACAACTCACAAGGCCATCTTTGCTCAGTTTAAAGGTAGTTGTTGGCCAGGCAATGTGAGGCAGTGGATTGACAGAGTGGGTGTCTGTCAACAGGTGTCAATGGTTGGTGTTAAATGGGTGGCTGGGAGGAGACACAGAGAAGACTTATGTGCTCATCAACAAAGGGAAGGTTTCTGGGTGGTTTTAGATATTCATGGTGACATTTGGAAGAAAAGAAGGTCTGGTTTGGGTTGGGGAAGGAAGGTGAGTGTCAAGGAGGGTCTGAAAGAGCTGGATTTCTTCCTTTGTCCTTGCAAGGAGGGCAATGAAGGTGGTGAAGGACCTTGAGGGGAAGCCACATAAGGAGTGGCTGAGGCACTTGGTCTGTTCAGCCTGGAGAAGAGGAGACTGAGGAGATACCTCGTTGCTGTGTACAACTTCCTCAGGGAAGGAAGTGCAGGGGCAGCACTGACCTCTTCTCTCTGCAACCAGGGACAGGACCCAGGGAATGGGCTGAAGTTGTGTCAGGGGAGGGTTAGGCTGGAGATTAGCAAATGGTTCTTCCCCCAGAGGTGTTTGGGCACTGAACAGCTCCCAGGGCAGTGGGCACAGCCCCAAGGCTGACAGAGCTCCAGAGGTGTTTGGCCAATGCTCTCAGGCACAGGGTGTGATTGTCAGGGATGTCCTGTGCAGGGCCAGGGGTTGGACTGGATGATCCTCGAGGATCATCCAACTCTGATTAGTCTGTTACTCTATTCAGTCATTGTGTGATTCTTATCCTAGATTAGAGAGAACTAGAAGGAATTGTACTGCTCCCTTCCCCTACCTCTTGGGAGGTCATAGGGAAAATGGAAGCAGATGCCTCACCAAGGAATACAGCAACAGGGCAAAAAGCAGAGGTCAGAAGCTGCAACAAAGGAAGTTCTCCTTAGATGTTAGGAAAATCTTTTCACCATGAGGATGGTCAGACACTGGAACAGGTTGCCCAAAGAGGCTGTATACTTCATCTTTGGATGTATTCAATGCTCAGCTGAGCAAGGTTCTTGAGCAACTTGCTGTAACTTGGAGGTTGGCCCTGCTTTGAGGAGAGGGTTGGACCAGGTGGGCTCCAGAGGTCACCTCTGACTGAGACTGTGCTGTGCTTGCACAGTGCAAGAGCAGGAGTGGAGGAAAGGACATGCAGGAGGTGATCCAGAGCAGTATGTTTGTGGGAATGTAAAGTAGGTTGTACTGAGAGAGAAAGGCAAAGGAATTCAGGGAGAGAGAGAGCAAAGAATGTCAAGGATCATCTGCCATAACAGATGGAAGTTAGTGAGAATGGGTGGAGAAGGGAGAGAGGAAGAGAGCAGGGGGTATATCACGACAGGCTGGGTCAGACAGCAAGTGGCATTAGGGGGAACAGAGAGGGGCAGATGCAGTGCAGCTCAAAGAAATAGAAAGGAGAGAGAAGAAAAGTAAATCTACAGTAGATTGATGTATATTTTTATTTCATTAAACTTCTAGGTCCTCTCTTTGGATTAAAAGGACGGGAGGGAGTGCCAGGTGGATATGGCACTCAAGGTGTTCCTGGGCCAAGAGGACAAAAAGGGCCTAAAGGTAAGTTCTAACAGACAGCTCAATAGTTGGTCTGCTGTTATGTATTATGTGAAGCTCCCATTGGATCCAGTCTGAGTTTGCTGAACTATGACATGCATGGGAACAGATGAGTTTGATCTGGGGCTAACACAGCAAAGAAACATTGTGTTGGGTCCTCATAAGAAAAAAACAACCAATGCTTTTCTCAAGTATTTGAGAAACTACTGAAGTGTTCTCAAGTCTATATAGAAAATGGATTCAGCTGCACATCTCTTTCTTGTGACAGAGCATTTTCTTCTCTTTGCAATTCTTTCCTTAGGTGAAGAAGGTGACTGCACTCAATGCCTTTTGCGTGAGGAGCTCAGAAGGGGCTCGCTAGGCCCCCCTGGCCCTCCTGGCTTCCCAGGAACCCCTGGCCAGCCTGGGAGGAAAGGCGAACCTGGTGATCCAGGACCACATGGTACTCCTGGCTTTCCAGGAGCAAAAGTGAGAGAGCTGTTTCTTTATTGCAGTTTATGTGCCTACTAGAATAAAAAAAACCCCAAGCTATTCTCCATGGGAAGGCAATAAAAAGTATGATTTCTCTCTTTTCCACTTCGATAGCTTCCAGGTTGCTATCTACAAAATAAAGCCAAAAAATGCTCAGACAGAAGTGACAATAGGATGCTTTGGGAAGACTGAAAGGTTTCCACATAATCCGTAATCCAATTCCCATTAGAACAGAGCAGAGCCCTTTGAAGCAGCTGTTGGACAGAGTATGGTCTGACCACCTAGAAGGGTAACAAGTCCGTTAGTGGTTGCTAATAAGATGCAGATGTCAAACTGATGAAATATAAGGTTCTTGCTTACAATACATTGTCTTCCTAAAAATCACTGTGGAATTCCACCAGGAAAGGACTTTGCTGATAAGTTTGCTGGCTGTTTGCACTCAGAGGTGCTGTCCTGTGTGGTGCGCCAGCTGCATCAGGGCTCCTTAGCCAGAACTGCCTTCAGGAGTCACACATCTCAGGGTTTTAGAATGAGTTTTTTGTAAAGCTAATGCAAACCCTGATTTTATTTATCACAGAGTCATAGAATGGTTTGTGTTGGAAGGGACCTTAAAGGTCACCTACTTCCAACCCTCCTGCCCCAACAGGGTGTTGTGAAGCACAGTCCCCTGCCAGCTATGACACTGTCCTTTTGGGGGCTGTGGGCAGGAGGAACTGCAGTCAGCATAACCCTGAGTTTTGGTCCCAAAGTGCCAAAGAGTTGCTTACAGCATTTTCTCTAGGGGCTAAGACTGGGCAATTTGCCAGGGTGTCTCCAGTGCAGCTCTGCAGCCACAGCCACCTGCAGGACTCAGCTCATGGAGAGCCATGGGTGCCCCAACCCATCTGCAGGCAGAAGTTCCCTTACCACATCACAGACACCTTGGTCCTAGTTAGAGCACAGTCATAAAGATTCTGCACAAGAATGAGATTGCTGAAGAGAAAATCATTCACAGAAAGGAAAGCAGTAAAATTTAAGGAGACTTTTGAGGGTTTTTAAGTAGGACAGTGAAATGTAAATCTTAATACTTAACTTCTTATGCAGTTCTGGTTTTTGTTTTGTGTGTTTTTAATGTGTGTCACACCAGGGATTCTCAGGCCAGGCTGGATTTCCTGGGCCTAAAGGAGCAAAGGGAGATTCTTTGCACATAACTACTAAAGGTAGAGTAAAAATTCATAGCACATGTACTTTCCTGTTATTTACACCTTTAATGAGAGGTTGAACTCACAATGAAAGACTTTCCCTAGGCACCAAGGGAATCCGGGGAGAACCCGGGATGCCTGGGATCGGAGGAGAGGATGGTTTCCCTGGCAGAGATGGGTTGGATGGTCTGCCAGGACAGCCTGGGCTTCCGGTAAGCAGCAAGCACAGCTAAACCACTGTCACCACACCCAGTCACGAGAGCATTTCCTTCTGAGCAGTGACCCCAGGCTGTCCTGCTCCCAGAGGTGATAATGCACAGCTGGACAGGCTGTGTTGGTTATCAATGAATGAAACACCAGGTTTGCACTCAGCATTCTTAGAACATTCTTTTGCTTGTATTTCCATTATTCAAACAACTAAGTAGTGGTGTGTAACTCATTTATGTCATCTTGTTATTACTGGTTAGTTTGTGGTAATTAGTGGTTTGTTAGTGACTGATGCTCACAGAATCACAGAATAATGTGGTTGTCTGGAGAAATTCTGCATGTGGTAATTAGTGGTTTGTTAGTGACTCATGCTCACAGAATCACAGAATAATGTAGTTGTCTGGAGAAATTCTGCGTGACTGAACCATCCCCCACCTCTCTCCAGCCCTCTCAGGGTGTTGCAGAGAGCCAGGAGGTCACCTCTGAGCTTCATCTCAAGGCTCAACAAACCAAACTCCCTCAGCCCTTCCTCACCCCACATGTTTTCCAGCCCTTTGCTGCCCTTGTTGCCCTTGGCTGGACTCGCTCCAGTGCCTCAATGGCCTTTGGGCAGTGAGTGCCCAACGCTGAGCACAGCACAGAGCTGGGACCTCCCCAGTGCCCAGTGCAGGGGGATGAGCACTGCTCTAGTCCTGCTGCCACACTCTGCTGGAGCCAGGACAAGATGCCCTTGGCCTCCTTGGCCACCTGTGCACACTGTTGGCTCACACTGAGCCAGGACAGTGAGTCTCTCCACAACACTGACTCATATTGCCCCAGTGCTGTCCATGGCCCAACATTTCTAGGGGAATGTTCCCTTCTAGAAGTGCTTCTCTCATGCCTTTTCTGCCATGCAGTCAGGTTATTTATAAAACACTTTATTTTCCATGTTTCAGTGTAAAGATTTGGGATGCAATACTCCATGAATTGCTGCCTGTAAGATGTTATTCATTACAGTAGTTCAACTATTTGAGTTGAACTGTGTTTGTTTCTCAGCAAAGTGAGGAGTGACCACCTCTGTCTACTTCCCGCAGGGTGACGGTATCAGAGGTTTCCCTGGTGATCCTGGGTACCCAGGTGAATTAGGCCCAAAGGGCTTTCCAGGAGAAACAGGTCTGCCAGGTGAAGGATTTCCTGGTCCAAAAGGGTTCCGGGGTCCTCCAGGTGACCATGGACAAGCTGGAAGCCCAGGACCTCCAGGTCTGCCTGGTCTGCCAGGAGAGCCTGGCCAACTAGGTAAGAGACAACACTCTGTCTTACATCAGAGCGGTGGGAGGTCACCACTGAACTGTGTGCAGCATCTGTACAACACCTGTCAAAGAGGAAGAGCTTGGTGGGGATTTTGTGGGGGAAAAGGGATTGCTGGTGTTGTCCAGAAGTCTTAAAGAAGGAAATACTTCAGCAGTCCCAGTAGTTCCATGTCAGGTGTTGAAGCAGCATAAATTAAGGTGTTAGGTCCAGCAAGTAACACCTTTCAGGTCTGAAGCTGCTGGAGGCAACAGAGCGATGTGCTGCCATTGGAGTACTCACAGGTGGTTGTCTCTGCTCTTTCCCATACAATCTAATCTTTTAATTGACCAGAGAAAATCATGTATCCATCATTTAGAGCTCTTCACATTATCTCTGCAGCTCTCTGTGTCCCTTCCAGCATAGGATGCCAGGACTACATTCACAAGAGCTCAAGCTCAGCATTTCATTGCTGGACTTTCAGGAGCCTGACAGAATGTCTAAGCTAAATCAGGAGTGCCAGCCCTACACAGTGCTTGGACACACAACCTTCTCACTCAGACAGGGCTAGGTTTCAGGCCTGGATCTAAACCATGTATGGATAGAGAGTTCCAGTATGTTACAGCAAAGAATTTGTGTTGTGTGTGTGCAGAACACATAAGAGAATCTCTTTGCTGTTGTAAGAGACATTTTGGTTAGAATTGAGAGAATTTCCCCCTTCTAAATACTAACTGTTTTCTCCCATCCCTTGCTCCCAGACTGTGGACAGGTCACTGAAGACATTTCTCGAGGAGATGGAACTGAGCCCATATGGTCAGGTACTGTGAACACAAGTTGCTTGAACATCTTTTAATATCTACTCTCATGCTGCTCTTGTGAATTGATAACTCTCTCTCTGATGGCTGCTTTGGATGCTCTTGATTGCAAACTATCTGAACTTCAGGTCACAAAGAGCCATGACTATACTGTGTGTAGCTCTGAAGTGAATGCATCAAATTGAACATACTCTGAAATTATTTCACTTTTAGCTCAGCAGTGCAGAAATTCTTTGTTTCATTGCTCCTGAGTGTTTATTGTAACAAAAGTAATGATTACTCTGCAGTCTGTAATGACAGTACCAGAAATTACCTTTCAGGATCTGAAGGGGCTCCAGGGAAGCTGCAGAGGGACTCTGTGTTAGGAGCTGCAGGGACAGGACAAGGGGCAATGGGCACAAATTGAAGGAGGGAAATTTAGGTTAGATCTTAAGCAGAAGTTGTCCCTGTGAGAGTGGTGAGACTGGCACAGGTTGCCCAGGGAGGCTGTGGCTGCCCCAACCCTGGCAGTGTTTAAGACCAGGTTGGATGAAGCCTTGAGCAACCTGGTGTGGTGGGAGGTGTCCAAGTGTCTCTGTTATTCTGAAAACCACAGTCACCCAAGAGGCTGAACTCTCCTTCCCATGCTCATCTAGCTGGAGCATCCACCACAGCCTCTGTGAAACAGGCAGAAGAGAAGCTTTTGGGGTGGAGTTCAGCCTGGGTGCTCCCCTGAAAATGACACCCAAGGCCAATTATTCCTTATTTTTCATGAAGAATAAGACTTTTTTTTTTATTAGGGGTTTGCCCATTGATTTGATTCACCTGCTTGAATAAAGTTGCCTTGCCTGCAGGCACAGAGATGTGGAGAGGGGGTGTGTGAGCACCTGTGGGGTGGCTAACTCTGTCTGTTTGCAGGTGCAGGATGTGTGAGGCCACCAAAGGGAGCCCAAGGCAAGCCAGGACTGCCAGGAGCCACAGGTAAGGTTTTGTCCTCAGCTCTGTTTCCTGCAGACACTACATTCTGAGGAATGTCTTGCCTGATCAAGCAAAGCTGAGCCTGAGCAGGCAGCAAGATTTAGAAACTGCAGTGAAGGACAGCACTAACCCAGGTCTGGTGGAGACATCTAAGCATTGTGTGGCCCAGGTGACCACAGCATTCCTGAGCTAATTCTGCCTTTGCTAATGAGTATCAGCCATGAAACAGAAGACAGAAAGGAGAACCCATTTGCTGTTCTCCACATGCAAGTAAGAGAGAGTATATAGAGAGAGTCTACAAGCTGTTTGATGGAGAGAATGCTGAGGTCTCTCAGAGCTGACTGGACACCTCACAAGGACAGTCCTGTCCTCTCAGACCAAGGTAATAATGCAGTGGAGGACTGTGACAGATCTTTCTTACTGCTCCTCCTTGTGTGATGCACAGAGCACCTTCAGCAGGTCTTTAACGTGGCTCAGTGTTCTGGGCCAGGTGTCTGACTCAATGAGGTTCTGCTCTCTGGAGTCACACACACCTTTCTGGCAGAGCTGGTTCCCCCTAGCCCAGAGGGACCATCTGGTCATCATGGGCCTTCCTAGCACTGAGGGTTCCCCACCTCCTTCCAAGAGAAGAGGAGGTGGGGACAGGGTCTGAGGGGCTGTGTGAGCTGGAACTGAGACAGTCCTGGGCAGGGTGTGCTGAGTGATTATGATGACTGGCCTTGAAGAGAGAACCTCTGGCCAGCACTGGTAGTTTCCTATGAGCTTATTTACTCCCAGCCTAAGCAATAAAGTTGTTTTTCAGTAAATCCTTCTCATCACCAGCTGTGAAGGTACTGACAGAAATCATAACTGGGTCCTTCAGAGTTTGGGGAATGTAAAATTCTTGATGCATCTCTTCCTGTGCTTCAAACAAGGTTGGAAATCTGGAGTATAAATTTTAACATCAAGTTGCTTTTTTGTTCCCCAACACAAGGTTTATTAAGGCATACATGGATTGATGGACCGATTTATCACCAACTAATGAATCCTAAAAGGGAACATTTTGCCTCTGTTGAAGGTTGACCTGTGTTTCCTCAGTCCTAGTGCCTGAGTCTGTTGTTAGGATCGATGCTCTGAAGGTTGCTTTCTGTGCCAGCTTTGTAAATTGTGTCTGAGTATGATGATTTGTTTGCTCTTTCATTCCTACAAGCTTGAAGGTTTTTCTTTTAGTGAGTACAGATTGAACTCCCAGCTGTAAGGCTGCTGTAAGACAAGTGACCCTTTCTATGTGGTTTATGTTTTGCACTCTTGGTTAGCTCCTTAACAGATCTTAGTCAGCTTATGTATCTTAGTAATTTTCAGACTTGTTTTTCACCTCATCCTTCCAAATACTGGAATAGGCTCCTTGCTCAGCCCAGTGCAGAACTCTGTTCACAGCTGCCTTTCAACCTGAGGCAGTTCTGGACCTGGAAACCTGGGAGGAACAGGACACATTTTCACAGCTTCGTTTTGCCATAGCTGTGTCAGTTGAGCTTTCTGGAGCATCATGAGTGGGCTGGGGCCAGGGCTAGGGCTGGGGACAAGGGGCTGGGGCTGGCTGTGCCTATTCATTGCCCTCCCAGCTTGGACATGCCTGATGCCATCCAGGATTGGGTGTACAGTGGGTGCAGCCTTGGCCGGGATGTCCCCGAGGATGTGGTGCCTGACCTAAGGACTTGACACCCCAACCCTGGCAGTGTTCACAGCCAGGTTGGATGAAGCCTTGAGCAACCTGCTCTGGTGGGAGGTGTCCCTGCCCAGGGCAGGGGGTTGGGACTAGCTGATCTGTAAGGTCCATTCCAACCCCTGAAATTCTATAATTCTGTTATTCTTATCTGGATGTCAAATACTATATAACAGGGAAACAAGGTTTCATTTCACCTGTCAGGAGATAATGGTTTGAACCTGAGTTCAGTGCCAGAAGATCACTTTTTCAGGGCACATCTCTTCTTTTCCTACAAAATCTGTGGCCCTGCAGTGTTACAAATATAGTAAGTAGGTTAGTTAATTTGTATTCACTCTCTAGGATGATTAGATCTAACCTTTAGAATTCCATTTCTGTCCTGTGGTTATCTAAACTCATGCTCCTGTTTAGCAGGGAAGGGAAGAATTTGCTCCTCCTACAGCATCTCAGCTGGGCCCATTTCTGTGAGCAGCATTCTTTGGCATTACCTCTTGACCTCAAGCTAAAAGGCTTCATTTCCAAAATATTAAAAGGCTCCAGAAGTCTCTGAGGCTAATTATTGTCACCCTACTAGTGTCCCTATGATTAGTCTTTAAGCCAGGTTAAGTTTGTAAGGGCACTTAGCCTAGATTTTTGGTCCATGTTTTGGGATCTTGAATACTGCTAGAGAGCTACAGTATAGTCCTATTAAACTTTCATCTATTTTCCTATACAAGTTTCATCTTTGCACTCAAAGTCACACCAGGATAATATTTACTACTACCTTTTCTTCCATTATATGTACATTTCTGCTTTGTTTGTTCAGCTCACAAACTCCTACTTTCTCTCACATAATTTAGGTTCAAAAGGGGCAAGAGGATTCCCAGGTGACCCAGGTCCAATGGGCTACCCAGGGCTAAATGGAACACGAGGTGATCCAGGTCGGGAAGGATTCCCAGGTCCTCCAGGTATCTTGAAATAATTACTTATTCTTTATGCACTTTTGACCTCTTTACTACAGGACTGAAACACAAAAACTTGATTCCAGATACATTTTTCACTTTTCTTCCTTTTACATTCAATCAATAAACTATCAGACAAAACTGCTACTTTCCAAATGCAAAAGGATTTCCTGCAACTTCTGTAATGCCAAAAAGTGACATGGGTGCCTACCTTTTACACTCTGCCTTATAAGGCAAAGTTATAAATGTGGCAGAAAAAATCATGAAATTCACATAAAAAAAATCAATATGAAGATATTTCAGATTCCAAATGGTTTGTACTCATGATGATGATGTAGAAAGGGAGAAAATAATGATAATAATTATTTCTATTTAACTCTTTCCAACATTAATATAAACAATGGAGCTAAATCCAGTTGGGGCTGTCATTAGTTCTGTTCCCCAGGGTTCAGTCCATTTGGGGCAGGTCCTGTTAGACATCCTTATTGATGATCTGGGCATGGGGATTGAGCATCCTCAGGGAATTAGCAAAGGACACTCAGTTGGGTGGGAGTGTGGATCTGCCTGAGGGTAGGAAAGCTCTACAGAGAGACCTGGAGAGACTGGATCAGTAGCTGAGGACAACTGCAGGTGAGTAAATAAGGCTCAGGGCTGGTCTTGCCCTTGGGACACAACAG